GACTTTAGCACAGTAGCCCAGCTTCACCTAAACATTCTGCTCTTCCAGAATACGTCATTAAATAAATACATCATTAAACATCAGTTTGAAATATCAGTCAAAACATCTGATGTCTAAACTAACAATGTAGAAAGGCCAATTTTGACTTTATTACCCCACCCTGTGCATTTTGAGTGAGTATACAAAAATCTTAGTGGTGTCCTAGTAGGTACATATTGAACAACTGCATATCAGGAACACTACATCCCTGCAGTCTACCATGTTGTGCTCAATATTATTCTGAAAACAGTGCTGCACAGTGTAACGTTGGCTAAATGTTGGTGTCCATATAGATGTAATTTGCTTGAGATTACAGCATGTGGAGTTCAGCCCTGTCTGTTTGTATGCAGAAGTAGTAACTTCAGTGTTTTGTTGTCATGTGTGAGCGTGAGTTTCTCCTCTGAGCTGGCTGGATCATGAATCGAGAGTGGAGATGGTCCACACCCAGCGGCCGGGAACATAAACAAGCTTAATAGAAGAAAGATGGCCCCCAATCTTTTCCAGAGCAAGTCAGTTAAATAAAAAAAATCATACACATACTGATTAAAAAAGTTTATTTAAGATCATGTTGCAATATCATGGTCACATTTAAAAGAACCACTTAAAATGAGGTTCATTGTGGCATTAAACACTAAAAATTATGAATAAAGCTTAAGTGTTCAGTTTGGGTGTGGGTCAAAGTTTCAAAGTGTGGGTCCAGTTTACTGGCCTGCACTAGTTTAGCAAAAAATCAGACTTTAAATCTAAGAAATGTAGTCAATCAGTAAAAACCTCTTTGGTATTTTGCGCTAGAGGTACGAGGCTAATGGAGCTAACAAGTAATGGAAGCTTATGTACACCAATTAGCACTGTGCAAACTGTATGCATTAATCATCACACATAGGAAAAGACCTGTTACCCTTTACATTGTGTGTACATTTCATGATGAATGGACTAAGAGAAACAGCCCAAAATGACTTGAAAAAGTCTGGTTCCATTGACTTACATTAAAATTAAAGTAAGTTTTTTCCTTCTCCTGTAAAGTTACCATTTTGAAGATATGAGGTTTTCTTCCTACAACAGCGATATACTTGAATATGATACTAAGTGTATTTACATGCACTTATTAATCTGATCATAATTGGATTTCGGCAGTTATCTGATTGTTCAAGTGGTCATGTAAACAGCATACTCAGTAATCAGGCTTTTCAGTGCATGTGAACCCTTACTCTGATTTCTTTCGCTTTTCTCAGTCTGGACGCAGTCCTGGAAATAGCAAGCAGCGCTCAGGACAGCACCTAGCGAGATGACAACAAAACACTTTTGAAGCAGTGCTGAAACTAAACACATGCTTGACAAAATGAAGAATCTGAATATTCTTCTTGTAGATGATGTATACATATTTTCTGCTAAAGTGACTTGAAGTTTAAAAAAAGCCTCGGCATGACGATGAGCTTTACGCCACATCTTCTTTCTGCGAGATTATTGGCTGGTGGCAAAGCAGAAATCTCATTACTGCTTGACTTGTAGACAGAAGTTTACCATTATCTGATTACTCAAGTGCATGTAAACGTGTTGAAACGGATTACTGACAAAATCTGATTTTCTTAGCTTATTAAGTCTATGCAAACGCACTCACTGCTAACAACAGACATGGACAAAGTACATCACATAGCTAATTACAGTAATGTCACCTATCTTGAAGCCTGAATGCAGCTCTATTTGAGATTATTTAGGCATACTGTTTAGACAGTGCTAACTGGTGTCATGTAAGCGGCCACTGCTTGTTATCTACATTAGCTTTGTAGCTCCTGCACAAAACTAAAGAAGCAAACTTCGCACACTAAACATTATATTCATTTAACCCAGACTTGGATGAACATTTGAAGTGTTCGTTTAACTCCGGTGATCTCAGAGAGAGGCTCCTCTTCTTAGAGCTCTGGAGTTTTCACAAGAGTTCCCTGGATGCCTTGCTGCTCCTCCCACACATGCTGGTATTCCTTCGTCAGATGGTACCCCTGCCGTCTCTTCAAGACATGTTTATGAATTGCTTCAAGCAGGAATTATCCAGCCTGCGTTTGTGAAATCAGTTTGAAACATCTGGGTAATGTTGGAACGTTATGCTGCTGAAAAGAAAAGGCTAGACTCCCAGTGGTCACTCATGCACCTGTGACTCATGCTTGAATCACTATCTGCTTGGCTATTACACTAATTTTGTTATTGTATATGCTATGTATTGTGCACAGTGTAGTGCTATATCGACACTGAGATTCTAGACCAAACCCATGCAGCCCCAATCTGCCTGAACCAGCACTGTACTTTTGTTCTATATAGTGTCTTTACGTACATACATGCATGCATTTACCAGCTGCTTTACTTGGAATGCCAGGAATTCTAATACTAAGTAGGACCCCCACTCTCAGAACAGCCAGAATTCTTTATGGTATGGATTTAACAAGTGCTGGAAACATTCCTTAAAGGCTGTAATCTATAATTGCTCTAGATATGTCAGCTGCACATTCGTGCTGCAAATCTCCCATTTTATAACATCCCAAAGGTGATTTCTTGGATTCAAATCTGGTGAGTGTGGAGGCCACTGAAGTTCAGTAAACTCATGGAACCATGCGATGTTCATGGAGGCAGTTTGAGATGGCTAGTGCTTTGTGATATGGTCCTTTTCATGCTGGATGCAGCCATAAAGAGATGCACATGGTCAGCAACAATACTCAGATAGTCTGCTGGATTTAAACAATGCTCGATTGGTATTATAGCCCAATGTCTGCCAAGAAAACATTCCCCACACCATTACACCCTCACCACCAGCTTGAGCCCAAGGCAGGCCCATGTGTCCATGAATTCATGCTTTTTATGCCAAATTCTTCCCATACTATCTGCATGTCACAGCAGAAATCAAGGAGCATTATTTCAGATGTCAATATTAAACTGTCCAGTTACGATGACCCTGTGCCCACTGTAGCCTCAGATTCCTGTTCTTGGCTGAACAGAGTGGAACCCGATGTTATCTGCTGTTGTAGCCCATCCACCTCAAGCTTCAACATGTGTATTCAGAGATACCGTTGTAAAGAGTGGTTACTGGAGTTACTGTAGATTTCCTGCCAGCTCAAACAAGTCTGGGTATTCTCCTCCGACCTCTCTCATTAACAAGGCATAGTAGAGTAGATCAGCAGCAGAAATACTCAAACCACCCTGCCTGGTGAGGTTGGTCCGAAGACAAAACAGACCAAAGACATCTTTATGCCAAACACAGAAAAAACATTATCTCTCTACATACTTTTTTTGGTACGTGCAACCGAAGAATTTCAGAAAGGTTTTTTTTACTTGTGGATGTGTTTTATCATCTCTTGATGAGCTTTAGTTTAGAACAAAATGGGACATTCTAAACACAGTATACACACACACACATATGACCACATAAATTATATTAAGAAGTAAAGCCCAAAGTATGATGTTTTATAAAATTAGAACATTCGAGGCTGAGGTTGTGTACAATGATTTCATCCTGCTTGGCGCACAGCTTCTAATGGCTTATTGCTTTAGGATATGAGTGTGGAACTTCAGTCCAGGACTGTATATATGTATGTTTCTATGCTCATTGTCCATTTTATCAGCTCCACTTACTATATAGGTGCACTTAATAGTTCTACAGTTACAGACTGTAATCCATCTGTTTCTCTGCATACTTTGTTAGGCCCCTTTCACCCTATTCTTTAGTGGTCAGGACCCCCATGGGACCACCACAAAGCAGGTATTATTTGGGTGGTGGATCATTCTCAGCACTGCAGTAACACTGACGTGGTGGTGGTGTGTTAGTGTGTGTTGTGCTGCTACAAGTGGATCAGACACAGCAGTGCTGCTGGAGTTTTTAAACACTGTGTCCACTCACTGTCCACTCTATTAGACACTCCTACTTTGTCAGTCCACCTTGTAGATGTTAAGTCAGAGACGATAGCTCATCTGTTGCTGCACAGTTTGTGTTGGTCATCCTCTAGTCCTTCATCAGTGGTCACAGGACGCTACCCACAGGACGCTGTTGGCTGGATGTTTTTAGTTGGTGGACAATTCTCAGTCCAGCAGTGACACTGAGGTGTTTAAAAACTCCAGCAGCACTGCTGTCTCTGATCCACTTGCACCAGCACAACACACACTAACACACTATGTATCAGGGCTTGCAGGACTATTAATCTTTTACTAGTCAACCAGTTATTCAAAAATGTAGTTGATTAGTCTTCATTAACACATAATAGACAATGCAGGAAGACAACTTGACCATTCTGACAGGACAGGAAAACATCTGAACAAGACAGCACAGCGCACTGTTTGCGACTTGCCACACTCTGGTTTTTCATGCTCCAACACGTCTGATTTAACACCTAATTACAGAAGGCATCATAAGCCGAGTCAGAAGTGTCAGAACAGAGTAAACACTCACCTCATATCTTTTGCAATCGTTTGAAACATCTCATTAAATGCACTGAAGCTCAAACCAGGAATTGCTGTAAACAGGATGGTGTTGGTGAACCTCCAGTGGTCATGCCTTTCTGACCTTTACTTTAAAGCTCCTTGTCTCAAAAATGACTTCGGTTAACAGGATAAGCCTTGGGCTACGGCTCTACAGCTTGGTGCTGAGGAAATTATGAACGCAACTCGAGTAGCCACAGCATGATCTCTGAGAAAACAAGCATGGATTGAATGTGAGTGCATCCTTTGTTATGTGGCATTCCATTCCCTATGAACCAGACAGTGAGAAGGAAGCGGGGCCAGGGTGTTAGGACACATATTGCGGAGAAAAGTGATGTTTACGGTTGAGATGGGCATTTTGTGTTGATTCAAAGCTTCCGATATAAGCCTGCAAGGGTTCATGAGGCAGAAGGGCGATGACTAAATGGGATTACTGACAGCAGGGGAGCAGCCAAGGCTATGCATGTGTGTGCGTGAGTAAGGTTTGTAACATGAGCCAGTGTGGGTTGAGCAAGGGCGGCAGGGGTGGGAGGTACAGTTAAAGGCTCTGAAAGGGTCCAGAGCTTCTTTTTGCACACACTAAGGAGGCGCCCACAAACAGTCTGAGGTAACATCCACACTTACATTGCTTTTATTCATGTGACTTGTAGCACAGGGAACGAGTACATTTAAAATCAACGCAACTGGATTTATCTTCTTTCAGACTGCATTGCGGATGGCTCCGAGATGGACCCCCCTCTGCGCTGGACTCTGGATGCTCACAGTTGTAGCGACTGGCCTGCTCACCAAAGAACAGAAGAAGGATATTGTGGATTTGCACAACAAGTACCGGTCCATAGTTGAGCCGCCAGCTGCCAACATGATCCGCATGGTGAGCACCTGCACTGTACCTGCTCAGACCTGCCCACAGGTGGGCTTCTGAGACAGGTATGTCACACTATGTCTCAATGTTGGCTCTGAGCAAAACCTTGTTATGGCTTTGATCCTTTTATGAAATGTTATACCTAAAGTTTTCTTTACTTTTACATCTGAACAAAAAAAAGAATAATGAGCGTCTGCTGTGTTTTTAGGCTTCACTGCCCCTCCTAACCACTACAGTGCTCGAATGCACATGACCTGGAGTGATAAAATTTAATATCATGGTCATTTCTATATACAGTGTAACAGTATTTGATATTTAAGCTTTCATTAATAAAGTTAATGCTTCCTGCATACTGGTACTGTATGCTAAAACACCATCTTACCCTGACTTAGCTTGTTTTTATTGGACGTTTGTCTTGTATTCGTCTCCTGAAACAGCGCAAAAAAGAAACCTGACATATTAATTCATCAGAAATCATATTTCCAGAAAGTTATTTTCCTTTGGTTAGCTGTGATTGGATGATATGGATCAGTCTACCAAATAGTTAGACTAAAATCCTTCTGCTTTGAGTGACACTGCACATTAGTTGTATCTATTTTATTCAAATAAATGATTAAACATTCTATTTTGTCACTTCCAAAACAATAACGCTTCCAAAACCAAATGTTTCAGTAGTGACTGTTTCGGTAGTGACAATTGTAGCTCATTTTGAGCAGAACTCAAAAATGCTAGTCAGTACATGACCAGCAAACACAGCTTTGAACAGTTGGCACACATGTAAAGTCTAGTATAGTATTTTTCTTAAAATACAAAAAGTACTTATATGTGTTTCGCTAGTGACAATTCTTAATATTACACACTGATTTTTTTAGATTTTGGGACACATTTACTTCAAAACAATGAGGTCTAACTGCCCACCATGTAGCCATGAGGGACAGAAATGCAGTCTCACTCTGTGCTCTAAAATGCAGAGGTGTGGCTAAAACAAGGCTCCGCCCACAGACTAAAACTCTATGTGTTTCAGTACTGACATGAATATGTGGGGCAGCATTTTTTCAGGCAGGTTTTCTTATTTAAAATTAAACTCATAACCTTAATATTTTAACTTCACTTTAAAAGAAATAAAAAATGCACAAAAAAAATGTAAGTATCTTTCCACAAGTGTAAATTGACAGGTTAGTGTTTGGGGCAAATACGTCTCAATAGAAAGTACCCTATAAATGACTATTTTGGATATATTTAGCTTATTACTATCTCAAATTAATGTCTTGGATTTAAATAGATCATAACATAATGCTTGTAAATATCAAAGGCCTGAATACCTTTTTTCTAAATATTTTTACTGTGGCTAGTTTGAACTAATTCAGTAGAACTGTTCATACAAAAAATGAATTTAAAAGAGAATTTGGGTCATGTTTCATTCACCCAAGTCCACATTACTTATACTCCAGTCGAAAGTTTCTGTCTATGGGCCACATTCATAAAGCGCACCATTAGATTTAACATGCCATTAAAAGCAAATAACATTGCAGCAATTTGCACACGACCATATTTACTGTTATATTTACTGGGTGATCTGTGGCACTTTTACCAGCAGGCCGAAAGTTTTATTACACACCTATAATGTAATAAAACAGGTAGAACTGGGAATATTTTCAAGCATGCTTAGTCAAACACATTTGGTCAGTTAATTAACCAAGGCGAGTTCTGATCTGTGTGGATTGAGCATCATGGTAAACATTACAACCGCAGCCACTGGAGCACATGAAGAGGAATGCCACAAACTTCTGCTGTAAGAAATGTAAATGTAGCAGCAGACTATTAAACCAGTAAGTCACGAGAGGCTGTGTGGTTAAAGGTGTTGTTGAACGACACTAATTAAATAAACAGCGACTAAACGCAATATATTAGAACGCACCAGTGCTCAATAAATAGTTTAGTATTGCTTATTATCGATAACAATTGCAATAAGCAATTCTTCTGCCAAATAATGTAGTTGTTCACAGTAGGTTACGATTGCCAAGCAACGTTACAGTCAAAGATTACTTCATGAACAGTTCAGTGGATTTTAATCACTTGCATTTGTATATAAATGGGTGGGTATGTGTGCTGACCTGTGCAGTGTACTTTACAAATTTTGCTCTTGATTCAAAAGAAGGACCAACGTCATCACCTCTGGCCAAAGGCACTCGGACCACCTGTGATATCTGGATACATTTTCTTTCAGATCTTTTTTTTGCTGTGACTTTTAGCAGCATATAGAAGTTCTTCCATATTTGATACCACATTCCTGTGTACCAAATAATTTCCATTGTTAAATCTAAGAATCTCTATCTGTAATTCTGAGATTTGCAGTTTTCTTTGACGTAGAAGGTCTGTTTTGGCACCCAAACAGGCCTTCATTTACTGCTAGTCTTTAATATGTATGAGCTCATTTACATGTTGATTTTGATTGGCTTCTACCAAGGACATAGTAAAAATGCAGCAATGTGGGCCACTTGAATGGCGCAACTGTCTAAACATTGGCACTATCATCGGAAAATCATGAGCTCGATCATGGCAATGCCACAGCCACTGGTGGCCAGGAGTCCAACAGGGCATAATTAGTATGGTCCTCCCTCTCCCCTGTTGATCAGGATGATGCTAGCCAATACCAAGCAGACTGAGCTGTCCAATGATGTTGCGTTGCAGTATCTTGATGGTGTAGCTTCACTTGTCTTGGAGAAGTCATGTGCTAGCCCTCACTCTCTCAGCTTGGTAGCACTGTGTGATGGGGGAGACCTAGCTAGTGAACTGGGCAATATCCAAATTAGAGAGCAAATTGGGTAAAAAAGAAAGGGTTATTATTCGGGCTGTGTTTGGCACAGTCCGTTGCCATTTATCTTTACAAATCTTTCAGCTGAATATGTAGCTATTAGCATAACTCAAGGTCTTTTGAACTTTCACATATGTCGACATGCACCAGAACCAACATCTGAAGATAATTACTTACTACTTCAGACATTTTATTGCTCTAGCGAGAGCCCGGCCTATGCTTGTTTCATTTCATGTCTGTCATCTCTGGCTTCATGCGCTTCATTTGAGCCTCAACATTCAAACTTCCTGGACTTCATTCAACATCTGTAATCTGTATAACTGCAAATCACAGTGCTATCAATCATGCACATGACTGCTGCACTATTGCAAACAATGATTATCGCAACATTTTCATGAAATGAAAGCATATCCAGTGTGATTCAATAATTTCTCATAACCACTTGAACTGCCGGAGGCAATGGCCAATTTATCCTGTCATAACTGAGCTGATGAAAAGCGAGTATATGGGGAAATGTAAGCTATTAAGTCTTTGTGTTTGTACAAGAGCTTATGGGTTCCAGATAATAGATGTTTGGTTAATAAACCAAATGGCTTGTACAGTTGTTCCTCCATGCTCCTTAAAATAAAGGTGACAGCAATGTCATCAAAGAACCTCTTTAAGTTCTCTAAATAACCTTTTAATGTATGGTTATTTAATGATAAGACTGACACTTTAAACTGTATAAAACCTCTACATAATGTAAAAGGTTCTAGATTATTTGAAGCCTGCTTTTACCTGAGAACCATACAGCCAAGAATGCAGTTAGTCATTGTTGTGTATTCCACAACCTGCAGTTGAAAGGATAGAGAGACAAAAAGATGGACAGATAACAGGGATGGAAAGATAACTGAGAAGCATGACACATGATATGTTCAGGAAACCATAGCCAAATGTGATTGGTGGGCAGTAGAGACTCATTTGCAGAGTATTCCCAACTCCACAGAACACGTAGACACAATAAAGACACCTAGTGCAAGACATGATGAGCAGGATTCACCTAAATGTGACTGTGCTTTACTTTAAGTGAACGGTGACGCACATCTGTAAGTAGTACCAAAGGTCAGAAGGGTCTAGGCCTGAGCATCAAGGATTATATTAGACATGGAATTGTCTTTAATTTCAAATATCATAGGACATTTGCTTAGGATGGAGTTGTATGCATTCCAGTTTTGGCTGTGGGGAGTGTATGTGGGGGTGTGTGCCCTGATTCAGTGGATTATGTTGCGCAATATGTAAGAGTAAGCAGAGCGAGGAATGTGAATGTTATCCGAGACCACTCAGACATAGCGGTCCGCATGTGTGTGCAAGCAGTGAAAACCCCATGTGATCGTCCAGCTTTGCTAGTTTTAGGGGTGGAATTCAGGGCACGGGTTCAAAATTGTTTGTTTAGTGGACAAGCACCTGGACATTCATTTAAATGTCTCATTGGTTCTGGTTTGGTCACTCAGCAATTATTGATGTAGAAATATGACAAGAGTCTGTGCATGTTACAGCAGACCAACTCCTGTAGAATATGCCCAGGGCAATACTGGGACTGGCCTGAACAGACTTTTTCTCAAAATCACCCTAAAACAGTAAGATTAATTGTATTTTATAATGTTTCAAGTCATCCAGCTGAGCAGACATGCTCTTAATCTCTTAAATGGCCAGGACCAAAATTTTATTACACATTTAAGTAAGTTAAGAGTAGCTCAGCCAGTTTGCATTGAAGTGCCTGTAGTTACTGAATAATAAGTCTTTGTATGTAATAAGCCTTGAATTTTGAGGGGTTAATCAATGTTTCAGCTTACATCTGCAGCACTAGATGTGCATCTTCCTTTTTATCTAAATAAGAACCCTTTTTTTTTCTTTTATACTTCGAGTCTATTTTTTTCACTTGCGCCAGTGAATGAAGAGTAAAAAAAAATTGAGAACCGGTCACATCTGTCAAGGGACGGGGAGGTCGTGGGCCCAAGTGCAGAGCTCTTGGGCGTTTAGTAACTAGTTTATTTATTACTATCTTAGTAGTATCCACCTGGCCTGTACCATACTGGTTACCTCTCTACAAAGGTGTAACACTGAGCTGTAGTTTGTGCGAGCCTTACGTAAGTCAGCGCTAATTAGCACTAGGGCTTCTGGGAGTTGGCAGTTCCAGGCACAACGCCCAGGCCCCCTACTGGCAGCCAGCATTGTGGCCTGACCCCTTTATAACATCACACACTCCTATTTTTCATCACATTAAACAGATTTGCTGTTTGTGCCATCAAGTTTTGAAACTGCTTTTTAATTAGAAAAGAAAGGGTGGAAAAGGGCTGATACTCCTGCCTGAAGCAAAATAATATAAATATAAATAAATAAAAATAAATATAAAACGTTAACACTAATTTAAACTTAATGGACCAAAGACACACTTCAATCGAGTGAGTGAAAAAACATTCTCAGCAGTAGTACCCTACCGACAACAGTAAAAACAGGTCAAATTAAACATGCTATTGAGCCATTTGTGCCCAAAATGTTCTCTATTTTACACACACTGATACACTAACTGTGATACATACAAGTTCAAGATTTGTCAAGTCTATTGCCACCTCACTTTTTTCCCTTTCTGTAGTTCTTTCATATGAGACTCTCACAAAAAGCTGCGTAACACTTTACTAGATTTGTGTAAAAGGGAGCTGAGCGGTATAAAATGTGCCAGTGGGCTTAAATTTGAATATCATATTTCGAATATTTGAATGACTTTTTTATTTGAATATATTTTTATCTTAAATTTTAAAAATTTGCAAGGAGCTTATGTGGGTGTTAAAAATGTTGATCTACATGAAGCACTATGTTTAGTCCTTGTTCAATGAAACCTTGCATATGATCTGTCATAGCCAGCAGTGAGCTAGCAGGTGTTTTTATGATTAGTAGTCTGAGCCTTGAGGTCTCTATCTTGTCCACATTTATGCTGTGTCACAGTTCTTATATAATTGCTACTTTGCTACCTGGCTAAGGTGTTTGTAGATGGATGTCTGAAAAATGTGGCTAAAACATTGGTTCCCCATTGAAAATTAATGGTCTAAGCAATGTACAGGGTGATTCAGTAAGATTAATTTGATTTCAAAGAGCCATATTTTTACAACCGTGAAGCGTCTAGGAACCAATCACATACCAATTGAAAGAGGGGGTCATAGAGTTTATGCTCATTTAAACCATTTACAGTTTACTGTATTGTTCTGTAATGATTTACAAGTGAAATAAATCATTTTAAAATCAGATGAATCTTTTTGAATCACACTGTAATTGTGTAATTAAAACACAATTAGATAATGAACTTTAAATGAAGAGTTCAGCATTGAAGGTGTTCTTGTAATTTACCTGTTTTAAGATTAAATTTGTGCATTCTTTTATATTTTTATTGTTTAAGACTGTGAGTTTCTGCTGTTTGAGTTTAAGAAATTTCACAATTGAGATCTGACAATTATATTTTTAATTACATGAACTGAAAGTCATATTAATCAGTAAAGTGCTGTTTAATGTTAGATCATGTAAAATTCTACTGTCCAATGTTATACATACATACATACATCATCTAAACCGCTTATCCTTCTGGGTCACGGTGGGGTGCTAGAGCCTATCCCAGCTGTCATTGGGCGGAAGGCAGGATACACCCTGGACAGGTCGCCAGTCCATCGCAAGCCCAATGTTATGCTTATAGGAATTTTTAGCTCCTTAAAATCAGTACTGGTGAAAAGGTTTTCGTATCGATTGGGAGAACCTCTGGGTAAGCTATCTGGGACCTCTTATCTTTAGTTCTACACTTTTAAAAACAATGGTTTCTTAAGTTAAGAAAATGGTTCTATCTAGAGTCATTAGGGAAAAACTCCCTAAGAGCAAGAGGAAGAAACCTTGAGAGGAACCAAAACTCAAAAGGGGAAACCATCCTCCTCTGATTGACACTGGATAGCAAACAATAACACAAGAAAAATGAACAGAGAATAAGGTTTTATCATTAATATAATGCTATATGAACACTTAAAGAACGTTTTGCATGATTAAATGGTTCTTTGCACGGTGAAATGGCCCTTCAGATTGACAGAGAGTGTGTTATATTTGGTTATATATTAAAAAAGGGCTCATCTATTGTTACAGACTTGACATCGTAACATTAGCAGAACCCTTTTCAAAAAGATTCTGTATAGAACCATATACAGCACTGCAGTCTGCAATCTGAAGAACTGTATGGAATTTTTCCTCTGTCTCGTTCTCTGATCCCACCAAGACCTCACTCTATCTGCTTGTTCTCCTCAGAGCTGCAGGAGTGTGTTAGAACAAAAAACACAGATGCATGTTCAGAGATGCACTTCATTTATTCTTGGTCAGGAGGGCCTTTTGAGCATGGCGTTTAAGAGCATACATAATTTCCAAGAACAAAACACAACTAAAAAGAGGTGCTAAAAAACAGGAATGCATGACTGAGGAAAGTGTCAGAAAACAGAACACAGCAAAAATAAGGTGCTAAAACACAGGAAACCATGGCCAAGCAAGACACGGCTGCCAGAAAAGATGTTAGAACCTTTTGCTTAGACAGACAAGCATAAGGTGATTATTTTAATTTCATTTAATCATTTAAAGGTTCTTTGAATGTTCATGGTTCTATATAGAACTATTTTCTATCTTAAGAGAACCCTTGAAGAACCATTGTTTTTAAGTGTGTAAGCTAACCCCTTAAAAGGCCAGCGTTCGCTGGTGGGCGCAACATTTTATTACACACTTCTATAAGAATAGCTCAGCCAGTTTACATGGAAGTCCCTGCAGTTATTGAATAATAAGCCTTGGTATGTAATAAGCCTGGGATTTTAAGGGGTTAAGATCTGACAGGTCAAGGTAAGATTTTTCACAAATTTGTATTACTGAAGCAATTTAGGAATCTTATCTTACAGAATCTTATCTCAAGTAAGGAAATCGAACTACTTGATGAAAGTCGACTATCATGTCTGTTACGTAGCAACTGACAATCTGCACACAGCTAAAACGTAAACACGTATCAAAATAATGTTAGAAATGTAAGTTAGTTAGCTGGACAGCTACTGTTCCTGATGTAAAAGCTCAAAACAAAACTGAAGTGTGATAACCTGGAAGTTAGGGACATTGACACAGTGCTCTGTACTGTTTATCACAGCGTCACTGCTCCCCAGTTTCAGTTTCCATTTCCCGAAGTTTTAAACAGGCTACGCTAAAGTTATTCCTCCTAATAACCAGCCACACTTTTATCACCGATTCCTAATTCTTCAACATCATCACTGTAATATTTTTTGGCGTTGCCTTCTTTTATTTCACCAACTGCACTGATTTATCTACATTTTGCTAGTGAGGAAGAGCAGAATTCTGAATCTCACATAAATATCATAATTTTACCCCAGTTAATTGATGAGTTTTCATCAGCATTAACCTGTTAAATGGCCAGAGACCACCGGCGGGCCCAAAGTTTTACTACACACTTCTGTAAGAGTAGCTCAACCAGTTTGCACTGAAGTCCCTGTAGTTACTGGATAATAACCTTAGTATGTAATTAGCCTGGAATTTTAAGGGGTTTAACACACAAATGTAATAAGAGGGGACTGTGGACATCATGTCTGCAATGTCTGGGTTAAAAAAGTTAGACAAAAACATTTCAAAAGTCAAACCACCAATTTTTTCAACATAGATGAATGTGAAGTAGATGTCTAAGAACAAGAGCAGGCTCCTCTGCAGTGTAGCATGCGCACTGTAATAATTATAAACAGGGATCGGAATCATATTGGTTATATTATCAGCAGACAACTGCTTTAAAAATGATAACATCTGCTTGATGCCATTCATTTGTTTAAACTGATGTTTGATGATGTATTTATTGTGCTCCAGATGAGCAGAACATTGAGGCAGTGCTGGGTTACTGTCTGCATTTCATTGTTACATTGTTCCGTAATGCTAATTACAGGTAGATCTAATCTTAACTTGTACATTTAATAAATGTTTATGTGTTTGCAATGATATTGGCAGATTTTTTTTTACATTAAAAATATCAGATATCAGCATCAGCCCACAGCTGCCATATCAGTGCATCACTTATTGTGAATACAAGTATGAATACAAACATTTACAGCATGTCTTATGTTTGTGATACAGACATGGGGTGAAGAGCTCTCTCTCGTGGCAGAACTATACGCTGCTAAATGCATATGGGATCACAACCCTGAAGTGCAGAACATAATGGGGGAAAACCTTTTCATCTCCACTGGACCCTTTAATGTCGACAAAGCCTTGTCTGATTGGTATGGATAAACTGTAACACACTCACAAACCGATTCACCCAAAGAATGAAGACTGTTATAGTCAAATGGATGACTGACAGATTGGTTTATGCATTGATTCAGCTGGTTGGTTGTAAATAACTCAAAGGGCCCATATCATGGAAAATGCAATTTTCCTTACTTGTTTAAAATAAACGTTTGATGCAGTAATGTACTGTTCACTTCCCAGTCCATGCAGTTCATTCCCAAAGAGGTTGTAAGGAGTGTTTCAGGCTGTGCTGGTTTAGAACAAGGCATAATACAGGGCAGCCAATCAGAATGGAGGTCATTTACATCTATCTGTCTTAAATGTGTATCAAAGCTTTATGACTGTTTATTTCTTAATTGTGAGCTTTAAAGAGATGGAAAATTGTCATGTAACATGCAATATGACTTTAGTACATAAGACACCTATTAAACCCTTCAGTGTAACTACATTATGCCTTTTTTATTCTGTACATCATCCTGAGTCCTTTTTATGCTGCTGCTGTAAGTTCATTGTTTCTTCCATGACTGTTTTCTGTCACCAGGTTTGGAGAACATGCAGATTACATCTATGACAATAACACCTGTTCTGATAATATGATGTGTGGACACTATACACAGGTGAGGAATATGAGCAAGGATGAAATATAAAACCAGCCCAGATCTGGGCTGATGGGTGTCTGATTATCACATCTTACGAGTACAAGTACAGTCTGGCCAATGTGAAAATGCTGTATGGAAAGGTTTGTGCACCCCTGGCCAAATTACATATTCTGTTGATTTTTTAAGTAAAAAAGTAAACACAACCTCTCCAACAAACTATGAAAGTTTGTTTCTAACAATGTTAATGCACATGTACTTTATATTTGATTAACCTAAACAATAGGAAAAAAAATAGTAAATGTGGCAAGCGCAAAAGTTTGGACAGTATGGTCTTCATTAACTTTATTAACTCATTAGGCCTTATTTGACTTGTTAGGAAGGTCAAGAATTGGTATTAGAAACTGTCGGGTGACGTCAGATGATCATTCCAGAGCATAATGAATTCTCTGACTCTTCAATTTTTGTGCTAACAATGATGGCTCCTTTAAGCAGCTGCCTGGGATCTGAAAATGGTGCTAATTAATGCCTACAAAGAAGGTAAAGTCCAGGTAAAAAGATATCAAATTACTTCCAGCTCACTATTTCCACTGTCTGAAATGTCATTAAGAAATGGCAGTTAAGGGGAAGTGTGGAAGTCAAGGCAAGATCTGGAAGACCTAGAAAACTCTCAGATAGACAGGCAAAACAAAACCCCTATATGACAGCAAAGGACTTGCAGGAAGGTTTAGCAAATGCAAGAGTGATGGTGCACCATTGCATGCACAAACATGATCTGCATGGAGGAGCCTTTCGAAGGAAACCATACCTTTGACCTCATCACAAGATTAAATGTGTAGATAAACCAGAGGCATTTTGTAAACAAGCGCTGTGGACTGATGAAGTAAAAACAGAACACTTTGGTCACAGTCATCAAAGGTATGTTTGGAGCAAAAAAGAGCAGCACTTTGATAAAAGAACACCTGTGGGGTTGTATGGCAGCCAGTGGCACAGGAAACACTGCACGGGTAGATGGAACAATGAATTCCACTAAATCAGCAAGTTCTAGAAGCAAATTTGACCCAATCAGTCAAGAAACTGAAGTTTAAAAAAGGCAGGACAATGATCCAAAACATACCTCAAAATCCACCATGAACTACTTATTTGCAAGATATGTTATTTTTTTCTATTTTTTAAGTTGATCAAATATAAAGTAATAGTGTTTTTCTTCTTTTGTGTTAAATCATTGCTTAAATGTAAACTCATGACCCGTTCTCCATTTTAGCCTCCTAAATGGGCCAGCTGTTTTAGGAAATCACTACATATTCAATCATCCACAAGACAATTTACAACACAATTAGAGTAAAAAATACTCATTGGTTCAAAACCACAATTAGCTTTTAACATATTGCCTGGACAATTTATCAACTTTCAACCTCTTCAACTCCACAGAACTGCCACTGATTCCAGACTAGCATTCCTCACTAAGCTTGTAACTGAAATTAAGTATGGAATTTGTAAATTAAGAATAATTCCATGTAGTAATGAATAAATATCCTTAGGATGTAATAAAAGTCTTAAGAGTTTAATAAATTGTAGTAGAAATTGTTCTGATTTGGGAATTGTGTCACTGTTTCAGATTGTCTGGGCGGAGACCACCAGGGTAGGCTGTGCAGCACACATCTGTGAGACTGTCAAGGGCCTGTTCTTTGAGAATGCCGCTATGCTGGTCTGCAATTATTTTCCTCCGTAAGTCTATGCTTAACTATGCTATGTTACACTGAAGCTAAACCACATGTTCTACTACTTTTCTGTATGCAATGCATGCTGTAAAGCAGGCATGTCAAACCTGGGGACCTTCCGGGCCAAAGTGCTGCAGAGATTAGCGTCTAGCTCTGAGTTCGTAAAGGCCTTGCTAATTAGCTGATGAGCTGAATCAGGTGTGTTTATTGAGGCACTGTGCTTGTCCTGACATGTGCTGTAAAGCATGGTGCGTACTATGAGGAGGGAAAGCGCAGTCCTGCGCCATCTGCTGGCCGTCTTCTAAAAATTCATTAAACGCTTATTTCATGACCATGCAAGCACAGCAGGTAGCTACGAATACAATAGCAAAACATTCTGCTCATCAATTAGGCGTCACTATTATTACATAATTGCTTGATCACAATTATTTAGGCTCATCTCAAATATTTTTCACGATTGCTTGCTGTCACAGTCAGATGTTTACACCTCAACTGTACAGAATGTTTCCAGTCAAAACAGCCATTAAGCAGCAGGAAAAGCAAGCTGCACTCTTTTTTTAGATCTGAAAAAATCCACAGGTGTTTCTGTCTATCCTTCCACTGTGAGAGGACGACTCAACACTATGAGTCTCAAAGCAAGTATATTGTGTGATATGGATTATTACAGTTAACCAAAACTATTACTAAAAGAACATGCAGTGAAAAATGTGCTTGTTAACTGTAATGCAAAACAAACTAGAATGAAATAGAGCTACTGAGACCATAAACTTTAGTTTTCCTTTTTCAGTGCATGAATGGGAGTTTAGAAGTGGACGTCTGCTGTGTTTGACCATCTGTAAAAGCCCAACCGAGCACAGTCTTTTGTTATGATAATTTTATTCTACTGTTATCAGATACCTACAGTGGTGCTTGAACATTTGTGAACCCTTTAGAATTTTCTATATTTCTGCAAAAATTTGACTTAAAACTTTCACACAAGTCTTAATAGTAGATAAAGAGAACCAATTCAACAAATTAGACAAAAATATTAGACTTGGTCATTTATTGTTGAGGAATATGATCTAATGAAGTTTTAGGTCAAATTTATGCAGAAATATAGAAAATTCTAAAAGGTTCACAAACTTTCAAGCACTTTCAGTGTAGATCATAATAGTGAAAACTAACACTACAACTGAAATTAACTAAAAACTAAACTAAAATTACTATTATTACTTTTCAGAAAAACTATCAATGTCCCCTAAAACTAACTGAGACTAAACTAAAATCAAAAACCAAAGCAAAAAACTAAATAAATGAAACTGTTTCTGTCATCATTTGGGGGTCAAGAGAGCTATTTTGGCCACTTTTCACAACTATATATTATCAATCATCAGGCAAAATTTCATGATCATGTGATGTACTCCAAAAACTAATCAGCAGTAAGTGAAACACTGACATAACACCATCCATAACTAAATATCAGGGTAACGGGGCAGGTTATGTTTTACAGCATGCTCTCTGCATCACCTCCAGTTAATTGTTAAACTACGTCAACACAACAGCAAGAGGCATCCTGATCACTTTCCTTCCCTGTACTCTTCCATGGTACTATACACTCACTATCCTCTACCCCATTCATCATTGGTCAGTTTGTGACCACAGTGCTGCTGACAAGATATAATTTGGGTGGTGGGTCATTCTCAGCAAATCAGTGACACTGACATGGTAGTCGTGGGTAATTAACCACAGCATGACATGTATTAAAACATCCATTCACAGCTTCTATGATGCGGTAGAGCACAAAAACTAAGAAGAAAAGAGCACACACTGAATCTCAGAAGCAGAATAGATTATAAAATGTAATAAGAAAAATGTTTTTCAGGATTACAGTAACATAAAAAGGAAACATAATTAAAAAAACATATAAAAATAGAGAAAAATAATCTCAACAGATTAACACATTTACACAAACACACAATCTCACACGCAAAGGCTTGATTAAGACAAAAGCAAAAGAAAATCAGCAGGCTAAAAGTCTAAGATTCAAGAAGAGAGAGAGAGAGAGAGAGAGAGAGAGAAAGAGAGAGAGAGAGAGAGAGTGGTTGGGGGTGAGAGCAGAGTGAGAGGGTGACAGACTTGGTCTAAGCGGTTATATCTTTATGCAAATTGTACGTAAATTAGTACATAAACAATTGCTGATTTATTGTTACAGATCAAAACTGCTGTAATGCAGACTTGAACTGGTTTACAAACAAAGCTGAACTCATTGGAGAGATTCAATAAATAAAGTCTAGTATCCACATCTTAATGACATCAGCAAGAGCCGCTCTCAGTCAGGCCCGACGCCTTAAAGGTTCCCGAATGGTCACCTTTCACCCAGTGATGTATATCAATATAAGTGCTGTAACATAGACGGCCTCCATGTCTGGTAGGACAGACTGGAGATGGACATAAACAAGTCCTTATCTCACATCACAGCGTCCTTCTCAGGGACACAGTCCTCACAGAGACACAAAAGCCAAAGAACTGTCCCTCCTAGGTGTAAGAAATACATTCTTAAGAAAAATATTCTATATTAGAAAGATGCAAATGTACGGAGCCCTGCTGGTGACATCCCGCATACATAAAAATAACGCGTGGCCACGCCATATTATCTCTTGGGAACGAGATCCTAATGCATGGCCACAACTATATGTAGCATGGAAACGAGATCCTAATGCATGGCCACAACTTAGTAAGGCGTGGGAACAAGATCATGCCTTACTAAGTTGTGGCCACGCATTAGGATCTCATTCCCACGCCTTACTAAGTCAAAGCCATGACTTAATTATCTCGTTCCCATGCTCTATTAAGTGGCCATGCATTACTTTTATTCATACAGGATGTCAATTGGAGGGGCTCCGTACAATTGCCTTCAGTAGAGTGCGTGACGCTGGTTTAAGGGTATCATGCACAGCGGTGTCACTGCTGGATGGAGAGCGGTCCACTACCCAAAAATGTCCAGTCAAGGTTGGCTCTGTGGTCAGAAATCAACCACTGTGGAAGGGCTACAGGATAGCTAAAGGGAAGGCTGACAGTAAGGCCATTAACGGTACGTCAAAGTAGATGTTTCTAACAGAAGCAGATGGTAAGCGTACACATTGTGAAGATTATAGAAAACACTGTATTTCATGATGATGCAACAGTAATTTACTGAACTCCTAGTGTGCAGGTCTACACTATGTAGCCAATTAGGGGTGGGCAATAAGGCAAAGTTGTACCATCATGATACTTCAAGATATTTTCACAGTGCACAATATTTATCAGTGTTTAATTTTTTCAAAGGTTTGATAAACTGATTAGGACAGATAAAGAAAAAGAACCAGCTGTGCCACATTTAGAAAATACCAGCAGAAACAGAGTACAATGATAAGTGCTCAGCATTTCACACACTGCACTGCACAAAAACCACTTAAACAGGACTAATTTGTAGTGCAACATGCTGTTGCTCAGTGTTGTTTAGGTACTGATGATATCCACCAATGTATGTTACACCAAAGAGAAAAGTGAGAAAGCTTTTTGTTATGTTTTCCTGGTGTAATGACAGTAAAGTTGGGTTGAACTGAATGCTCACAAAAGCATATTGTCACATAATATGACATAATTTATCACTACAACGAAAAATAACTTCTTATTGCCAACCTTCATTTCAACATGATACTAAAGCTGGATATGGAATATGAAGAATCTAATGTATCTCTCTCTCTTGTCTAAATTCCAGAGGCAACGTAGCTGGACAAAAACCATATGAGGCAGGAGAGCCATGTTCGAAATGCCCAGAGAAAATGAAGGACTGTGTGCAAGGCCTCTGTGATAATCTAGGTACCTGTAAAAGCTCTATTCAATAATTCAATAATATTTAGACCCAAGGTGTGAAATACAAGGCATCCTGAGGGGGTGCGGAACCCCCTAATTAACCTCCTGAAACTCCTGAATGTCTCATGATAAAAATTCTTGTTTAGTTGCTTCACCCACAAGTAGCGAGCTTCCATTGATATTATTAATCGAGCCTCTTTTGATATTATTAACTATTACCTAGTGATGCGGCACTGGTCTGCCTCAGGGTGGTGCTGTTGAAACCCAGTTGGTCCTTCATAGCTTAGCAACAGAAACTACACCTTGCATCTGAAAAAATATACTGCAGCATACTTGTAAATCAGAAAGTACCCAAGAGATTGGTGAATTATTACTCATTTCTGAAACCGAAGACCAAAAAGGAGATGTGTAAGATCTCAATTAATGTGTGGAAGAGCGCTTTACCAAACTAGGACAGAGCATTTTCAGAAGAAAACTGTTTAACTGAATATTTGCCGCCATTGAAGCTAGCACCGCTATGGTGAGTGAGTTAGCAGCCATCCAACACAGGACCCCTATGAATACCAGGCACACTGTTCAGGCCTCAAGATGAACGCTAGCACTGTTTTTAGCTATGCATCTACTTTTGCCTGCTTTAATTCTTTTAATGCATTTCGTAAGGTGCATTAGAGTAAGGCATATAGACAATAAACTCAATAAAGTCAATGTGTTAAACCCAGCAAAGGCCACTGGCCTTCCAGCAGTGTAGTCTCATGCACTCCATGTGGAGAAGTAACAGTTCTGTCTTTTTTCCCTGTCTGTAAGAAATTTACCAGATTAAACATGGCTAAAGATCCACACAGTCATTGTACATGTTGTCTATTTCATATTCACATTGGCTTGAACAGTGTAGAAGTGTAGAAGTAGCCGCAATAAACAGCATCCAAACACGATGGACTTACAAATGAAAAATCTACCTCCACAATGGGAAAAGCAGCCCATTGTAAAAGCTCATGAATGCTCTACATTATGTGCTTTGACATCATGTATGCTAGTGTTATACCTGTAACCTATTTTACAGTTTTACAGTTTTACAGATAGTACAGTATCTTTGTCTAAATTCAGATTCTCTTTCTTACAGAAAGGAGCGAACTTCCCTCAGTGGAGCCTACAGAGCTGCCTTGGACAGACACTCCCAGCACCTGGGCTGTTGAGGGATCTGGGTGTCAAGGCTCCCCTGCGGCTCTGCTACTGCTAACTGGATTGCTGGCTTCTCTCTTGTGGATGTGATCTCAGTTCTGTGTTTTGTCCCTGCCCATTTTTCCTCATGTGCTAGAGTGGACTAGGGTGGACTGGTGGAGGTTTTCGGGTTTTGATACATTTCTTGTAACTTATCCATGTTGTATCAAATATGTTTATAGTTTCTATACAACAGAATTTTACAGAGCAGATATTAGTATTTTAATAATTCAGTAATATCAGTCATTTAACATACACTGACCGGTCACTTCATTAAGTTCACCTGCTTGTATTACCACTAATTGTCCATTTAGTGTACATGCACTTTTTAGGCCTAAATCTACAGTTACAGACTGTAGTCCACCTGTTTCTCTGCTTACTTTGTTACCCCCCTTTACCCTGTTCTTCAGTGGTCAGGACCCCCACAGGACCACCACAGAGCAGATATTACTGGGAGGCAAAAAGAAACTGCAGTCACAGCACAACATGGAGGTGGCATGTTAGTGTGTGTTGTGCTGCTACGAGTGGATCAGACACAGCAGTGCTGCTGGAGTTTTTAAACAGTGTCCACTCACTGTCCACTCTATTAGACACTCCTACCTTGTTGGTCCACCTTGTAGATGTAAAGTCAGAGAAAGTAGCTCATCTGTTGCTGCTCAGTTTGTGTTGGTCATCCTCTTGTCCTTCATCAGTGGTCACAGGACGCTGCCCACAGGACGCGGGGTTGGTGGACTATTCTCAGTCCAGCAGTGACACTGAGGTGTTTAAAAACTTTTTGTCCATTTTATCAGCTCCACTTACTATATAGGTGCACTTTGTAGTTCTACAGTTACAGACTGTAGTCCATCTGTTTCTCTGTATCTCTACTTTGTTAGCCCCCTTTCACTCTGTTCTTCAATGGTCAGGACCCCAACAGGACCACCACAGAGCAGGTATAATTTGGGTGGTGGATCATTCTCGGCACTGCAGTGACACTGACGTGATGGTAGTGTGTGTTGCGCTGGTACAAGTGGATCAGACAGTGCTGTGGCCACAGTGCAGTGGCCGGTCAGTTTATATACGCACAGCAAATAGATTTATTCTGTTATGCAAGCACAATTCTACACAAACCAGCACTTCTCAGATATGAATATAAGGAGCGTTGGGCTGCACAGGTATGTGGCTTTTGCATGATAGTTATGACGATGGATTGTACAACATGAAACAACACTGAAAAATTGGACTCATTTACGTTATACAAGGACCGCATTACTTCACGTTTATATTTTTAAATCTAAGGACTGAAATAAGTCTTTTCCTTAAGTGTACTGTTGAATAAGACATGCTTCCTGGGAAAATATATAAAACTGGAATAGAATGAAATGAAAAGGAGTAACTGTCAAGTGCAGATTTAAATAATAATTGTATAAATACATTTGTTTAAAACCTAATCTATATACAAATATATATATTTGGTATTTGCGTTAATTATATTAAAGTGAATCATATTGTATATTTGTGTTTTGAAGAAAGTGCACATAAAGACATGATACCACTTTTCTGCTACAATTCTGATAACCTATGAAACCTGCAATACCAATCATATATTATGTCTAAGCTTTAAAAGGAGCATTTTTTTCTAGTTTAAATAGAAGCACTTCACATAAGATGATGATCAGAATGTAGACTACTATGCTGAAAGTACTCAAACACTAGGAATACATTTATACCAATACTGGTATCTGGTGCCCATCCAATTCTGTGCTCATTTACTTGCACTCGTTAACAATGCACCGATACCAACTTCTGACACCAGTGTATGAACCTCGTGTGAACAAACGAACAAAAGACTCAAGCAGTGTGCGAGGGTGTACCTGCACAGCGAAATGTCAGACACAAAGTCATTGGTCACTTTAAATCAAGCATGTCAAAAAGATTGAGAGTTTTTGTATGGTGTGAGCATATAAATCGTAGGCTGAGTCACCAAAACAACAAGATTTCTAACATTATACACTGTATGACGTTCAAATCAGCTCAGTCAGCCAATCAAAAGACTCCAACAAGACATGAAATTCCACAAGCGAGCTCTTTGGATGCACTAGCCTTGGATGTGATTCCTGTCTCTGTGCTACAGAGACTGCTGTTGAAAGAGACAGATGAGGATCAAAACTATGAAACATACTTTACTTCAGCTGTACAGAAGTGCCTTTCTGACTTGGTACAAAACCCGCTCTTCTCCACTGCAACACTACTCGATCCAAGACAGCTAACGTTGCTAGCTAATGCACTTCATTTAAAATAAGATTAGGATTAATGATTTAACTGTTAAGGTACATTGCACTCATTTACACTAACATTTGTACTAAAAAGTACTATAAAATGTATTATAAGTACTATACAAGTATTATAATCAGGTTACTCATTGTGGTATCTGTATCAATATCAGCAAGTACCAAAAAACATGTACTAACGTAACATGTCTAAGTGCACCTGTCTATTATCAGTGTAATGTGTCTCGTGGTATGACGCAATACACAACATATTTTTTGCAATACATAACATACTTTTTTTCACCTTTTTTTTGGTAGTCAGAATTATAGATGGACTGTATGACTTAGGCCCAGCTGCAGTCAATCAGATCGACTAGACTGACTAGAAAAGGATTGACTGGAATGTAATATTGGTGGACAAGACTGCAATAAATGACAATATATGTACATTGGGTTGATGTTTTAAAAAACTGTTCATCACTTATAATTACAGTACCTCTTAGTAGCTACACTCTTAAAAAAGATGGTTCTTCAACAGTTCTTTAGTACAGAAAATGGTTCTACATAGAACGATGAACACTCAAAGAACCCCTTATATATAGCCCCCTATATAGCACTAAAAAGGGTCAATGCCAAACTTGTAAAAATTGAAGAACTCTTTGGTGCTATATAGAACTCTTTTCAAAAAGGTTCTATATAGAACCATATACAGCACATTCTCTATCAACCTGCACCATGCAAAGAACCCTATAATCATGCAACAGGTTTGAGTGTTCGTGGTTCTATATAGAACCGTTTTCTTTACTAATGAACCATCTTTTTAAGTGTGTACATTTGACTATAATGGACCGAAAAGTCCACTCTTCCCCCAAAGTGAAGTTGCCCTCTGACTCCACCAGGGGGCGACAGAGACCAAGAAAAGACATCAGCAAGGAAACACCGACGCATCCTTTGACTCACTTAAATATATGGATGTTACTGACTGAAAATTATTGAAATTTTAGTATAATGGAAGTCTCTTTGGCCAAATCATCACCCAAATGTTGGTCATTTCTCTACCCTTTCAAAGCAACAAGTCAACTACATGAAAATCTACTTGGTTCTTATGAACGTCAGACATTTTTGACAGGACTAATATTGGTGCAAGTACAAAAAATGGACAAACCTGACCTTTAGCTTGCAAAAGAGACTGAACCTAATGCAGTGATTTCCAATTGTCCATTTTGTCATGCTAACTAAGTCAATGGCAGTTGATACAGATCAAACACAGCAGCAATGCTGCTACACTGATCCTGGGCTGATTTGATTGAAACAGGCCCTTGAGTAAAAGGCAAATCACCATCTTTATTCACCCCAGATATAGAGTTACAGCATGTGCAATAAACACTTGAGCCGGGACTGAGAGCTCGTCATCCCATTATAATATCACGGCACTGTTAAACCGCTCCCATGGGGCTTATTAACATTTAGCCTCCTCAGACAGCAGCGGAAATGCCACTGTTCCACTGCTATTCTCTGGAGTAGCTGCATGTAGTACCACACAAATGGCATTAGGTGCACATCTGTTGGCTTAGTCACATCAAGTCACTTGAACTTTAGCTCTTTGTTACTTATAATGAGAAGGAAACACAGTGCCCGTCATGTGAATGACCTTTATATTTTTTGCTTTTTTTTTCAATATATAAAACAGAAATTGACTGAAATTTGTAGAAAAACAACATATTTACATTTATTTCCTGTAGAGCATGTGTTAACATATTTAATGTAGAAAATCATTAAACATGTCATTTGACACGGGGTGTACAAACTTTTGCCTATGACTGTATCGACACAATTGTGTGCACGCACACGCGCACACACACACACACACACACACACACACACACACACACACACACACAAACATGCACAGCGCACAGAGTAATATGTTTAATTTGGCTACATCATTTCCACATGAATAAAATGTATCATGTCAACAAAATTATTAACAAAAACTGGAGTACAAAGTTGTGTTAATTCAATATATTTCACTGCTACATCACACACCCAGATTCATCACACACACTGCTACATCACACACCCAGATTCATCACACACACTGCTACATCACACACACAGATACATCACACACACTGCTCAATAACACACACTGCACAAATACGCATGTACATCACACTCACTGCTACATAACACACACTGCTCAATAACACACACTGCTACATCACACACCCAGATTCATCACACTCACTGCTACATAACACACACTGCTCAATAACACACACTGCTACATCACACACACTGCTACATCACACACACAGATACATCACACACACTGCTCAATAACACACACTGCTACATAATACACACTGCTACATCACACTCACTGCTACATAACACACACTGCTACATAATACACACTGCTACATCACACTCACTGCTACATAACACACACTGCTCAATAACACACACAGCTACATAACACTCACTGCTACGTCACACACACAGCTACATCACACACACTGCTCAATAACACACACTGCTACATAATACACACTGCTACATCACACTCACTGCTACATAACACACACTGCTACATAATACACACTGCTACATCACACTCACTGCTACATAACACACACTGCTACATAATACACACTGCTACATCACACTCACTGCTACATAACATACACTGCTCAATAACACACACTGCTACATAATACACACTGCTACATCACACTCACTGCTACATAACACACACTGCTCAATAACACACACTGCTACATCACACACACAGATACATCACACTCACTGCTACATAACACACACAGCTACATAATACACACTGCTACATCACACTCACTGCTACATAACACACACTGCTACATTACACTCTGCTACATCACACACACAGATACATAACACACTGCTACATCACACACACTGCTACATCACACACAGATACATCACACACAGATACATCACACACACAGCTACGTAACACACACAGCTACATAACACACACTGCTACATCACACACATACATCACACTCACAGATACATCACACACACAGCTACATAACACACACAGCTACATAACACACACTGCTACATCACACTCACTGCTACATCACACTCACTGCTACGTAACACACACAGCTACATAACACACACTGCTACATAACACACACTGCTACATAACACACACAGCTACATAACACACACACAGCTACATCACACACACAGATACATCACACACATACATCACAGTCACTGCTACATAACACACAGCTACATAACACTCACTGCTACATCACACACACAGCTACATCACACACACTGCTACGTCACACACACAGCTACATAACACTCACTGCTACGTCACACACACAGCTACATAACACTCACTGCTACGTCACACACACAGCTACATAACACACACTGCTACATCACACACACTGCTACATCACACACACTGCTACATCACACACATACATCACACTCACAGATACATCACACTCACTGCTACATCACACTCACTGCTACGTAACACACACAGCTACATAACACACACTGCTACATAACACACACAGCTACATAACACACACACAGCTACATCACACACACAGATACATCACACACATACATCACACTCACTGCTACATAACACACAGCTACATAACACACACTGCTACGTCACACACACAGCTACATCACACACACTGCTACGTCACACACACAGCTACATCACACACACAGCTACATCACACACACTGCTACGTCACACACACAGCTACATCACACACACAGCTACATAACACACACTGCTACGTCACACACAGCTACATCACACACACAGCTACATAACACTCACAGACACATCACACACACACTGATACATTACTGATAATTTACTGATACATTAAATTTACTGCCACCGTAAATTCATTATTTTGTGCCGATATTGCTGTGCATTAAGCTGTAAGCGTTTGATTACGAAAAACAGTATGTTGGCTTTTTCAAGCCAACTTCATAACTTTTGACTTACAAAGTCAGGTGGAAATGGGCGTCCATACGAAAAGCACACGAGTCAAACAGGGATTCATACTGTGCTGCTTATATGTTAATTATGAAGTTGCACTTGATTTCATTTGCTTGGAAATTCCTACTAACTAACCTGATAAATTGGCCACCCCACCAGTGCAAAGTGTTGATAGACTGTCAGTTATTAGTGCCTCTCTTAGTAAATCTGCCCTCATAAATCCAAACAGCCTTCAACAGGAAAACCA